AGCGAGTGATGATAACGGGGGAAGAAAAAAAACCGGACAAAAATTAATGACAATAAAATCTTTCNTAATACGTCACACGTAAGTTTGTAGGCATGGAGAATTTGACCTGATTTTTTTCTTGTTTTCCTCCTGATTGATTTGCATATTGCCAATGAAACCAACAAACAAATACTGCACAATTATAAAGCAAACAGCAACAAGCAAAAACAGGCGATGAGAAAAAAAATAAAAGAAAATAAAAATAAAAATTTTGAGCCATGGAAAATTTTACCCGATTTTTTCATATTCATGTTTTGGGTATCGCCAAGGTAACAATTAAAGTAAACAACAATAATAAGAAAACAACAACAAGCAACAGCGAGTGATGATAACGGGGGAAGAAAAAAAATTGGTCAAAAATTAATGACAATAAAAATCTTTCATAATACGTCACACGTAAGTTTGTAGGCATGGAGAATTTGACCTGACTTTTTTCTTGTTATTCTTCTAGCTTGCTTAATATATCGCCAAGAAAACCAACAAACAAATACTGCACAATTATAAAGAAAACAACAAGCAAAAACGAGCGATGAGAAAAAAATAAAAGGAAATAAAAATCGAAAAATTTGAGCCATGGAAAAATTTCCCCAAATTTTTGCCTACTGATTGTTTTGGGTATCGCCAAGGTAACAATTAAAGTAAACAACAATAAGAAAACAACAACAAGCAACAGCGAGTGATAAATAACCTGAGCTGTTTCAGCTGTTGTTGACTGTAGCACGTCCCGGCTAGATGGAACAAGAAACGTTAGTGTCCAGACAGAACAACACACAACCGCTACTCAACCCTCTAGCCTCTTTTGTTTCTGTTTTTGTTTGTTTGTTTGAACAATTTTGTTTGTTTTGTGTTGATGTCACACTTCAAAGAAGCCACGTGACATTATGTCCCACTGGGTCAGTCTACTGAGGAAGACCAGAGTGACTGGTCAAAAGCTGTAGGTGAGAGAACTTTTTTCAATCAAAAGTTTTAAGTCCAAACATTTTGTTTGTTTGTTTGCTTGTTTGTTTGTTTGTTTTGCATAACTTACTTTAGGTGTAACACACCAGCTTTGTACGAGCTGCATAGCAGCGGACTGTAAGGTTGCAAAATTGGCAAATAAAAATCTGGGAGCTGCTTTTGTAAGCAAATAATTTTGGGGAGAGGAAGAGGGTTGAGTTGCTTTAGATGTTCTGCCAATTGCCTCTAAATTTACCAGTAAAACACTACTGGAGGTAATTACTGTAGCTAAAGAAATATTACATCAGAATCTACCTTCAGTACAATCCTGGGTACTGTATCTACAGTTACTGTTGTGATAACTCAGTATTTCTCCAACAGCAGTCAAAAGTACTGTATTTCTTTTAATCATTACACATCTCTCTTAGGGTACTACATTTAGTCTTGAATTTTTACATCTTTACTTTGAACATTAGTCAGTGTTTTCAGCCAGGATTAGATTATGCATCAACAGATGAAGAAAACATTTCATATTTACATGCTCATACAAGTATTGAAAAGGGTAATAACTTGAACTGTTTTTCTATTTTCCCAATTTACTGACAGTATTTTAAAAGTTGTTATACCTCATTTCTTTTTAGAGTCATTATACTACAATATATAGAAAATAGACCTGATTTCAGTCTTCTATAGTACCAGACTGACTACCAGTCAAAGAGCATATTTGCTAATAGCATATATTACCAGCAACTAGCTTGGCAAGATATTCTACTGAATCAGAATTGCAATGGCAGAACATCCATAATGTTAGAGACTTTAGAAAGCAGTCATGCAAGCAGATTTATGCAATAAAGTAAGTAAAAGTTATACATGGCCACACAAATTTATTTTTCAGTACTTCTCAGGCATTTGAAGATGACAGTATAACAAGCTGGACACCATAAAAGCAGAGGGCATATATGTCTGTATTTACAGATGCTTGATAGCAAATCCAAAACCAATTTGTTATTTGGCTGATGGTAACATAAAACTGAGTGCTCCAAGGCATCGCCCTGGTCCTCACTCACTTTGTTTTCATTATATTTTTCTAGTTGAACATATTTTTTGAATTATTCTTAAGTTTGTTTTTATTCTCTAAGTTAGACTATTTCCAATTATGCACATTTTTTAATCCGAGAAACAACAAATTAAATTGGTGTGGCCAATACTTAATGAATTATGTTGGGTTAAATTCTCTTTTTGCAAATGATGCAATGATTCAGTATTATAGTATGTAAATCAAAAATACAATTCTTGAACTACAAATTAAACTAACCTATCATAATGAAGATAATTCTCTATTTCTTAAGAAAATAAAAGAGTCTTTAAGAAGCTACTTACAGGGATTGTCAGGGTTACACAGGATGAGAAGTTTGTTCTTATGAAGCTCGTTACTCTGAAGGGTCTGGAGAAACAGAAATGGGAAAATTATTAGGGTATAGAATTTTTTTCTTACACAACCAGTAAAGGTTCTCTCCTGCTTACGTTTCGATGTCTAACATGGCTGAGCTTGTATCCCCCCCTCGTCCAGGTTCATCACTGGGATTGACTTTAGTGAAAATTATTGTCATAATCATTACCAAAGACTGACGACAAGTATTCTATTCCTGGATTATAAGACTTAATGCAGAAAGTAACAGCTATAGCCTCGTATCACTTCAACTATGCTCTTCAGGTAGCACGTCGGCAGAACGTACTGCACCTGCGCAAAACCCGTAATGTACCGTGCATAGCGCTTCGGCAGAACGTCTCATATAAGGTCGTATTGGCGTATATAAGGTTAACACTCCATCTGTAGTTTTCAAATGTTATGTTGGAAAAAATATCCTCTGCAACAGGCAAAATTCTGATGCAACATTGACCAAAATTCAAACAAAAA